CGGGCTAAAACCATCATAGGCACAAGAAACGCCCCCAGCCTGGTTTACGAGGCGTTGTGCGCTCAATGTCTTGTGAGCTGGCAGGGTAAACCCTGCGTATCGCGCGCGTCGCGCGGCGACCTGGCGGTTGTCTGGCCTTTCGGAGCTCCCAGGAGATTGACATACCAAGCACTTTTAACCCAAGGTAGGGGCGTATTTCCGACCCTGGATAACACAGCGGTGCCTTTTATTTTCCCAACCCCTTTCTCTCAGCACGGCGGTTGTCTTTCTCACTCCGGGCCTCGTGAGCGGTGCTCCTCCTGGACCAGGCCCAGATATCTGGCCGCTCCAACTTTTTCTATGCGTGGGCCCCAGAGATAAGTCGGGCCTGTCCCTCTACAGGGGGAGGGGAATTTGCAAAACTAGTAAAAAATAATCTGGGGACGTTGTTGAGAGTATTGCGAAGGCCTTACGGCCGGTGCCGCCGACCCTGGAGGACGTGCAGTACTTGCGGGGGGGGCGTCGTATCTGAGTGGCGCCCCCCCCCCGGGACCCCCCCCGGGGACCCCCCCGCTACCCCCCCCCCCTCCCGGCGGGGGAGGGATCAAAGGGAAGGGGCTTCCCTTCGACTCAAATACGACGTTGCTGAAGTTCATTTGGGCTGGCGCGCTTGAGCAGGGGCCCCTGCTGGGAAAGAGGACGGGAGTGGCGACGGTCCCACGGAAAGGGAGGCGCAAGGAAGGGGGACGACAGAGACGACGACCAACAAACAACGGGGATGACGTCTCGAACGGAAAAGCCCCTCACACACGCCGACAGGGTCTGGGGACGTTGTTTGGAGTATTTTTTTCTACTTTTGAATATTGTTTGAATATTTTGCATTTTTCGTTCAAAATTCGCCTGTAGGGGGACACGCCCGACCTAACCCCAGAGATCTGGACCACTTCCCCAGGAACAGTTTTTCGTCCTGAGCCATGTTTTGCCGCTCCCGAGGCCTGGCGAGGGCCCCTGGAGGCCGAAGACTGACGACACCCCACCGCTCCAATCTTTCAGTTCGAGCGTCGGATCTGCGTGGGCTCTTCTGGCAGCACCCGGCCGGATGGCCGAGATCCTCCGCAGGTCGGGTGCTGCCGTGCTGCCAGAGGCGGCCCCGGCCCGAGGTGGCCCCAGCTCTTCGGGGCGGGTCCGTGCGGCCTCCGGCTCACTCCCAGGGAGGCCCCGACGGCCTGCGGGGAAGGCCTGGAGAGCTTCTCGGAGGGCCGGAGCTCCTCCCCTGAGGTCCGGCGGTGAGGACAACGTGTGGCATCGCGAGAAGCCAGGGCCCGATCCCCAGACCTCACCGTGCCGCGGCATGTCCAGGGCCGGGATCGGTCCGTCATGGCTCCGGGGCCCAAGGCCGGGCGAGAACGCCGGGTGCACGAAGAAGTTGCAGCGCCCGGTTGGCCAGGCGTCCGAGCATTCCGAAGAGGCCCGGGCCATCTGACCCTGACCTTCCAGAGTGCCAAAAAGTAGCGCTCCAGACCTGCATCCTGGGCTGCTTACAAAGCCTCGCCTGGAATTCAAATCTCAAGGGTCCGTGCCAGTTTTTGGCCCTCCTGGAATCGGGGAGCAAGCAATGGCAGAAGCAGAAGCACTCGGAGGTCTGCGCGGGTGCCTCGGATCGGCGCTGGACCCCTCCCTGGCGCGCGCAGCGCGCCAGGGGCGGCGCTGGAGGCGCTGTTAGGGGGTTCCAGCACCGAGCCGAGGAATCCGCGCAGACCTCCGAGTCTTATGCTTATGTCATTGTTTGCTCCCCGATTCCAGGAGGGCCACAACATAGTACAAGGACCTCGACACGCAGATTCCAGGCGATGTTTTCAGCAGTCCAGAAAGGTCTGCAGGTTTGGAGTGCCCCGACCCGTTCCCCAGAGCTGGTTTCTCATCCCGCACTGTTTTGTTGACAGCCCTACGGGCCCAGCGAGGGTCCTGGGAGGCCGAAAACGGCCAAGAACCTCCCGTCTGATTTGTTTCACGACGCGAGCCCAGACATGCGACGTCTTGATTCTTTCAGGACGGCGTCCCCGAAGTCCCGACCCTTTCCCCAAGACCAGCTTTTCGTCTCGAGTCGCTTTTTGACGGCCCTGGGGCCCGGCGAGGGCCCCCCCCCCCGGGGCCGAAAATAGGGAAAACCTCCCGTCCCTTGATTTTGTTACCATGCAAGCATGTCTTCAGCCACGCGCCGAGGGGGCTGGGGGAGGGGGGAGGGCTGCTTAGAAGCACCCCTGCTTCTTAGAAGCCCTCCCCCCACCCCCTTGTGCGCACCGCCAATGCCTGGGGACATGTCTGGGGGTGCTGCTGCCTGGCCCTCCATGGAAGGTCTTCTCCCTCCTGGGCCTCCCCCCCCCCGGGGCGCGCGCCGCGGAGGCGGGGCCCCGCACATGGCCGCTCCCGAGAGGCTGCTCGGCCGGGGCCGCCGCGGCCCGCGCCGCGGCCGGGGCGGGGCGCGTCCGCTGGCGCGGTGGGCGCGGCGGCTGCTGGCGTCGAAGGAGCCAAACCAGCACGAGCCGAAGAAGACAGAACCGCAGACATAGAAACGTTTGGCGCTCCGCGCGGATTTCTTGGATCCGCGCCTGGTCCCCCCGGCGGCGCCTCTAGCGCCGCCCCTGGCGCACGAATCCAAGAAATCCTCGCGGAGCGCCAAAAGTTGAGTTTATGTATTAATCTGCTTCTTCTTCTTCTAACGAGCACAATGTTTCCCGAACTTTTTGCGTCGGTGGCGAGGCAGGGGAGAAGTCTTCGCTGGCGATGGGATGCCTGAAGGGGGGTGCCGCGAGAGCGAGTTGTGCAACCATGCAAGAGGAGGAGCGGGGGCACACTTTCCCAAACATTCAGAGGAGGAAAAGGCGGCCAGGCCGCTGCAGTGGAAACCCATGCCAAGGAGCACCCTGCTTGCCTGCAGGGTGCCCTGGGTTTTTTTGATATCGATGGTTTTGCTATGGGAAGCGTGACGTTCCCACACCAAAAATCAATGGACGTCCTGGGGTTTCAGGGTTTGGGTTTCTTGTCGAAAGTTTTTGTGGTCGAGTTCCTACTGTACCCTTACCCGTGTTCGCCCTTTTCGGGCCTCCAGGGGGCCTGCGTCGCCACCGCTGGATTCGCCTCGAAACCCTGGTCAGAACGCACCCCGCGAGAGGTCCGGGAAGCAGCGGTCTCCCCAGCGAGCACAAATGTTCCCAGACATGTTCACGTCGTGAAGCGTCGGAACATGTGATTGGCTGAAGGGGGGGCACGAGAGGCCCCCACACAGTCGGACCGATGTATAAGGTCGAGGTCTGTTCGTGGAGGGTATCGTAGTGCTCTTCGTGTTTGTTGGATGCTCTTGTGCACCCTGGGGAGGGTACCCTTGGATGTGCTGTTTGTGTTTTGGCCGGCGGAGGGTCTCGTGTTCTCGAGGGATGCCCTTCTGGCCCAGGTCCGATTGTAGTTCATCGCGTCAGAGGAGCAGGAACTCTTGAGAATGAAAGGGGCACAAGGGGGGCCCACCTTTCCAGACCCCCGACGAGATGATTATTTCGCGACGTCGACCCCTCGAAGTCTCGACATTCCCCAGGACCGGTTTCTCGTCCTGCGTCGTTTTTCGACGGCCCCGCGGCCCGGTCAGGGCCCCCAGAGGCCCAAAATGTCGAAAAGCCTCGCGCCGTGATGTTTTGAAGACTCGAGGGGGTCTGGGTTTCTCGCCCCCCCCCGTGAAGCGCCGCCCAAGTGTATGCCGGTTTTGCTCCTTCCGTGGCGGGCCTCGCGCTCCTGGCCGTCCTCGGCGGCGCGCAGAGGGGCGGGCCGGGCGGCCTTCTTCTGGGAGGCCCCCCCCCCTGGGGGCACGAAGCTGCCTGTTCGCAGCTCGCGAGATTCGCGATTCCTCATGCTCCTGGCCCTCCTCTTCTTCCCTCTCGTCGTCCTCCTAGGAGTCGAAGGACCGTTCCACGATGCATCGGCGATGCGGCTCGATGTGGAGCCCGATTTCCTCCACGCCGACGTCATCGATGCATCGCCGATGCATTGCGATGCGTCGCGATCCGTCGACCCCATCTTCTGGGACCCAATGTGGGAGGGCTGTATTCGGGCCGAACGAAAAGGGGGGATAGGGAAAGGGGGGGTTCGAAATCTGCTGCATGCAGCTGGTTTCGGCCCCGCCGCCGGGCCCATTCCTCGATAGATGTGCGCCGCCCGGCGCCGGGAGGCGCTGGGAAAATCAGCTGCGTGAGCCGATTCTCTACCCTGCCCTTTGCTATCCCCCCTCTCGTTCCCCCCGATCTGTATCACACTGCCTCCTCCTCCTCCTCCTCCTCCTCCTCCTCCTCCTCCTCAGGTCAGATCATCACATCGTCAACCCGCGCACGCTGACCGGAGCGCGCTGCGCAGGTCCGCACAGGTCCGCGCGGGTCGGCTCGCGGGCCCGCGCCCGCTCGGGCACGCGCTGGCCCGCGCGGCCCCTCGCGGGCCCGCGCGGATCTGCGCCGACCTGCGCCGACCTGCGCGGACCTGCGCGGGCCTGGGCAGCCCCGGCCACGCGCAGAGGGGGGAGGGGGGAGGGCTCCTTAGAAGTACCCCTGCTCCTTAGAAGGCGCGGGCCTCCTCCGCAGATGTAGGGCCGGCGCCCTCTGAGAAGCAGCCTCCTCGGAAGAAGCCGTCCTCCCTCCCTCCACCCCCTTGTGCGCGCCGCCAAGACCTGGGCAACCTCCTCCTCCCTTCGGGGGGGAGGATGCCCGCCCCCCCCCCCGAAGGGAAACGGGGGTTGGAAGGGAAACTTCTCAAGACCACCTCACGCGCGAAGGGGCTGCTGGGATATCACTGGCCGAGGCCAACGACGTTACACGCGCCGCTTCGCGGGGCACACGGCCCTACAATCTTCCGTCCGCGGGTCGTTCGGGGAGTCTTGTTTTTTTTGTGTGGGGCTGACGTCCTTTTCTGGAGTATTTTTGGAATTCCTGGTCTTCTTACATGCCGCATTGGGGCAGAATTCGGAAGCTGCTCGGTCGTGATGGGGTTCTCTCAAGTCCGAGCGGGCGCGGACGACGGAGAGCGCGCGCAGCGCTCGAGGGGCTTGGCCGGCCGGCTTCCAGGATCGGCGAGGGTGTCGGGCTCCCCAAGATCAGGAGGGGAAAAAACACGCAGACACAATTAATCGTCGATTCCCACGAAAATATAGGAAAATATGGGAAGTGGGGGGGAAGACAAAAACCTAGAAAATATGGGAAAATATTAGGAATATTGTTATTTGTGTGTATTTATTTGTGTGTCTTGGGGCCCCTTCACAAGAGGCCCGCAAGATGGTTCCCAGACGGGCCACCGGGCCCCCGAGAGGGCCCAAGACGGCCCGCGAGCCGAAGGTGGTCTAAGAAGGTGCCATTTCTGGTTTTCAGACGGCCCAGGACGGTTCGCCCCAAAGAGTCCCTGAGAATCGCCCCAAGACGGCCCAGCAGGCCCCCAGAGAGTCCCGACGCTGCCCAAGAGGGCCCCGTGACGGCCCCAGACCGCCCCAAGACGGCAACCCCAGGGAAGGTCCGCAGACCCGCGGGGGATCCACAAGCGCATCGGGGAGTTCCACGACCGCGGGGGGAGTTTCACAACCCCCGCAGGGGGGTCCACAAACCCGCGGGGGGGCTCCACCAGCCCCAGGGGGACGGAGGGGGAGGCCGAGGGGGGGGGGCGGCATTTCTCAGGTCCCGGAGGCCTTCACACCAGGCCTTGGGGCCGTCAGCAAACCGTTTCGGGATGACACGCCCGTCCCGGGGCAAGGGTCTAGACTTCGGAAGCGACGTCGGAGTAGCAGGCAGGGGGGGGGGTCAGCGGCCTCAGGAGAAACATATGCAGTATCGGTACCTTTTGCTCCTCCCCGGCATCGGGGGAGAGCTTCTCTTCTCAGGCAGGGAGGCGATGAGGCAAGGAGGCGCCGTCTCCAAGGAGGCAGGGAAGCCATGGATATGGGGGGGGGTCAGCCGACGAGGCAAAGGGAGGGTCGGTGCTATTCAAAGAGGAGCCCAAAACATGGCATAAACATGCATTGTCGGATGTCCGCGCGGACTTCTTGGGTCTGCGTAGGCCCCCTGGCGACGCCTCCAGCACCGCCCCTGGCGCGCTCCGCGCGCCCGGGAGGGGGCCCCAGCGCCGATCCAAGCAACCCGCTCGGACTTCAGAAAATGTTCGTTCCACCGCGTCGTTTGTCCCGACGCGCGGCCTTGCGTCTTGGGGAGGGCGCCCCGGCCACCAGGGTGAACTCCGCCTCAGACGCAAGGCTCGCCGCTGGTCTGCCGCGGTGCCGGCTCCGTCTGCCCGGGGCGCATTCCGAACACAGACCGCGCTGCGACGTGCTTATGCAGCTTCATCTTCCCCCGGTGACGGGGGTCGGCCTTCCGCAAGGAGGCAAGGGGCGGGAGGAGGGAGGAGGGAGGAGGGAGGGAGGAGGGAGGAGGGGAGGAGGGGAGGAGGAGGAGGAGGAGGAGGGAGGAGGGAGGAGGGAGGGAGGAGAGGAGGGGAGGAGGAGGGAGGGAGGAGGGAGGAGGCACGCCCAGAGGCTGCGTCCGCGAGGCCCTCCTTGGGCCCCTCTTCTCGGCGACCTGCGAACCCTGCGCCTCCAGGCCTGGTCGATGCTGGGGTGCTCCTCCTCCTCCTCCTCCTCCTCCTCCTCCTCCTCCCTCCCCTCCTCCTCCTCCTCCTCCCTCCTCCTCCTCCTCCTCCTCCTCCTCCTCCTCTCCTCCCTCCTCCTCCTCCTCCTCCTCCTCCTCCTCCTCTTCCTCCTCCTCCTCCTCGTCCTCCTCCTCCTCCTCCTCCTCCTGGGAACGACTACACGAGGGCCTGAGTCTGGTACCGATGCCAGGGCACTCAAAAGAGGAAAAGGGGCAGGATAGCTCACTCTGGACTGGGCCTAGACTCGTCTGGCCAGGCATCCCGATTGGGCGGGAGGAGTCCTCTGGCGAGCTTATCCCATGCTTTCTTGCCAGCTCCAGTCGGGCGCTGGCAGGCCTTCCCCAAAATGTTGAAGCGGGTGTGCCCCGAACAACCACACACTTCACACCACCACAGCCCGCGCAGGCACCGAATTCTGTGAGAGCTGTGAATCTGATGGGGAAGGCCTCGACACGGGGCAGCTAGCCACTCGTTGGTGGGAAGTTGGCGGGTCGGTGCCGTCAGGCAGACAATACAGAAAGAGGAGCCTCGCCTTGGAACCACCTGGTGGGTGGTAGCTTGGCGGGCGTCCATTCGAGCTGCGATTCGTTCATCTCGTCGCGCCCTGTGGGCTGCGACCAGGTCGGCTGGGGTCGGGGCTCCTGGAGCCTTTGCGTCAGCCTGCCTGGCCAGGACCTCAGCCAGTCCTACCTCGAGCAGGTGTTCCAGGACTCTTTTGGTCAGGGAATCGATTCGAGCGACTTCGGCGAGCGAGGCAGGGGGCAACTGGGCGAGGGCGGCTCCTCTCTTTGCCGCCTCGTCAGCGGCCTCATTACATCTGAATTCAGCTTCTGAAACTTGCCTGCCTATGTCAGCCTC